TTAATTAATTAATTAATTTAATTTAATTCTTATATTATATTAATTAATTGCTCATCTTTTTTGCTACTCGTAAACAATTTGAAAAATTCTTAAACTAAATAATATTTTCATTAAATAATTAAAATTAATTTGAATAATTACATTTAAATTTTAATTTATTTTTAGTGAAATGTACTAAGCTATAATATTAAATAATTACATGTAATATTTAATATAATTTAATTTAATTTAATGTCTACGTGATGAAGTCGTACCAGCTTGTCTTTTTGCTAATTGGGAATATTTTAATATATATAAATAATTGTTTTTTTGTTTTACTTGTTATTCCTTCAAGCGGTTTTTATTTTTAGTCAAAAGTGGTAAATAAATAAAAACAATTTAACAATATTGTTTTTTCTAATTGATAAGATGACATTAATTTTACTCATACTTCTTTAACAATAATGCAATTATTTTTACTTTATTTTTATATAATTTAATAAAATTTAATGATAGCTCAACTTGTAATTTGAAATCATGTGTTAAGTTTTAATAAGAACATAAAAACAAATATAAAAAAAAGGCATGAGTTTTACACCATTTGTGATTAATAGTAGTAAACACAAGGTCTGTCGATTTCAATGTGTAACAATAAAAATAAAATTATAAAATTATGTATTGTAAGAAATCTGAAACAAACTCTTATACAAAACAAGCAAATAAATTGCTATATACATATTTTAATTTTAAGTTTAATTACAAAACTAACAGGAATAATGGTTTTTTTAAGTGCTTCGGTAAACACGCTCAAACATAATGGCATGGCGTGTGACATTTGTTGTGTTTCCGTTTCCGTCTTACTTTAGAAATATTAAGCTTTGGTATTTTCTCATTTTATGTTTTACATTAATTTTTTCTTATAAAAATTATGAACATGCGAACTATAGACATAAAAAATAGTTTATTATGTTAATTTATTTAAGCAAAGTTTTTAATTAAGTGAAGTGATTTGATTCTTTAGTTTGAAATAATTTAGTTTTAATTATTTTTTTAATAATTTTAAAATTTTTCCTTTTTATATGTTACTTGCTTCTTCCTGACTTATTTGTTTTTATTGCAAATTTTCAGTTTTATTTAATTAAATTTATCGAATTAATTTTATTAAATTAATTTTAATTAATTAATCTTATTTTTAATTATTTTTCAAACATTTAGTAGACGGTAAAAATTATTGTTCGCAATAAAATAAAATCATGTTTATTTTTGGGACAGCCTAAAAACATGCTTTAAAATTTGTTTCCAAATCAAAGTGGAATAATATTATGAAGTTTTCTCCACACTTTCTTTTAAAAAAATCCTACTTAACAAATTTGCAATCAGCAGAATTTTAACTTATTTTGTTAGTTCCAATTTAGAACTGTTGAAGGACTGCTCTAATCCTTATTAAGCAGCAGCAGTGCTAGCTGCAACAGCAAAAGGAGTAGTAGCACTTTAAGTTGTGATTAATGCGTCCTGTATTGTTGCCGACACATTGTTGCCACCATTTGCCGCAATTGCAGTAGTTGCACTTAATTTAGCCTTTGGTGGTGTTGCTTCCATGGGTATTACAGCGTCGGCAAGTGTTTCTGTGTCTGCGTCCGCTTCTGTTAATTCATTCGCCATGTCTTCATCCATTATATCGTCGTCCTTGGCATGTAAACTTTCGCTGTTGTCCTTATTACTGTGCAAGCTGCTGTTAAGTGCTTGCTTGAGCGGATCGCGTTTCTTGCCATGTTTGTTGCTACTCGGGCTGCTGGTGATGTTAGCTGTTGTACTGCTTTTGATGCTGCTGCCACTTGTTGCTGTTGTCGTGTTTGTAACTAGCACGCCAGAGTATTTCATGCCATTCAACTCAAGATTGACAATGAGTTGTTGTTCCCCATTTTCATTGGTTCCTAAGCGTGTGAAAAAATAATAAAAAGTTATTAACTTTGAAAAAGATTAAAGATATTAATGCTACTCACCATTTCTCGTTACTTGAAACTGTAGACCTGACAACAAACTTAGTGTTTCCAGAGCACTAATTTGTTTGTTTGATGTGGTGGCGTTAGTTTCATTTAAATTGCTTTGTTGCGTCTTTGTTAGAAGTGCCTTCTTTGTGGTTACCGGTGATAGGTGACCATTTCCCGCCGATGCTGATGTGGATGGTGAATTTTCTATAGCGGAATCATCTGATTTATCAGTTATCACACCGCTGGCATTACTGTTGTGGTGGTGATGATGATGATGATGTCCATTTAGACGCTGACGCTCTTGATCTTCATTCGATGAATTCACAGTCGTATTATGTTCACCTTCCTCATCCAATTCATCCTCGTTCTCAACATCAGAGTCTTGTCGATGTGTGCTGTGGTGAAAATTAGCAGCTGCAGCTGCTGCCGCCATACCGTGTGGCAAATAGAAACTAGCAGGAAAACCAGAAGGCATAATACCACCACGCAACAGATCCTACACAAAAGAATAGAAAAGTTTTATTAAGAATTAAATCATATTTCATTTCACTATGTCATATGAAGAACAAATAATCTGTTAAGGTGAATATGCATATAATCAGAAATATCCCTATAATGGTTAAATTATGGTTGGACACGAATCCAATTTTAGGGATACTTCCATTTGACAATGAATTTCTATAAACACAATTATTTTGCACAACTCTCTTCACTATGCTATATGTCAATATAGCATAGTTATCGGATTTTAAAGTGAAAAAAATTTTATCAATTTTTAACTTGCATACTCTGTTTCGCACTATATGTCTCGTGTTGTTGTTGTAGCCCGCAGTATTCTATGATGCATATAGCATCATGAAAGGAGTTACAAATACGTTTACATGGGTTAGGATATTGATAGGTAGTTGTAGTTTGAGGTAGAGGTGGATTGTTTAGGGGTAAGAATTGATTGTAGACTGGTGGAGTTTAAATTAAAGTCAACCAACATTCAGACGGAGAAATTTTTGTAGTAAGGTTTGTTGGGCTGGGAAATAGATGGGGGACAACATGATAGGTAGATCTGTAGTTAGGACACACATTGGGGATAAGCGCATTTGTGTATAATAACTAACTATTAAGCAAATAACTATATTGTGATATCAATTGAGCTAGAATATTTCTTACTAGAATATGTCTTGAAAGACATCGTACTTTCCGAGGCATATTAAGAATTTTGTTGCAGTACAACCGTGGTCTCAAAGAGAATACTGTATATTGTGGAGACGTTTGTCTTTCCTATATTGTCTAATCAATGTAAACACTTTACGAACTAATCCCGATATCTTGAGAAGTTAGTTACAATATATAGGCATAAAGTAAATTTTAAAAAAACTGTTCAAAATTCTTGACTCTACCAAAATACTTACAAATACAAATATTCGTAATATATTGTATTGCTTTATCGAATTTGCTTTTTGTTTATATTTTGTAATACAAAAAAAAAAATAATTTTATATATTTAATATAAAAATTTTTCATTAATGTATGATTTCATTATTTCTTTAACTTTAATTGATTAATAATTTATTGTTTTAATAGCCAAAATTTATTATTTATTATTTTTATTTTTCAAACAGGCTGATTGGTTAATTGTTTAAATAATACTAAACTTTTTATATTTTTAAACTAAATAACACACAACTTTATTTTCACCAATATTACGACTATAATCTATATTTATCTTTTAAATTTTTGATTTTTTAAAAAAAAATTTGAAAATTAATTTAAAAAGTTGTGTATTATTTGAAAAATTGAATTGTCAGCCAGCCGATATTAAATATAAAAATTTTATTTATTAATGAAGTGAAATCAAAATTAATTTATAATATTAATAAAATAATATTAGAGTAAATTTTTTATTTCATTAATAAATAATTCAAATATAGATTAGATTAGATTAGATTAGATTAGATTCTTTATTATTCAATTTCAAAAAAAAATTTTTTAACATAAATAAGTAATAAGCCTTAAGTCTAAAAACATTATAGTTACTTAAAAATATTGAATTGAACAAACAAAGAATACGACAATGACTTATAGTCGTCTGTCGGAGATGTTGGTTTAAAATAAATTTACTTTCTTGTATAACGTTTAGAAAATTAAAATTTAAAATTTACAAAATTAAAATTAAGAATTTACAAAATTTAAAATTTAAATTTACAAACTTAATTTATATTTACAATACAAAAAAGGAATTATACAGAATTTAAATTAATTGTATATGCTTTTAAATATTAATTAAAAAGTATTAAATTCATTTATAATTAGTTTTCTGTATTTTAAAGCACTAGTAATATAGTTAATCAATTTTTTCCAGTTAGGATCATTTTCCCCATTAAGCACATTGATTACTTCCTCTTCCACTAACGTTTCTCTCTCAAAACAAATTCGTCTAAACGGCCTTAATATAGGACAGCGGCCTAAGAAGTGCTGTATGCTTTCCGTTTCATTGAGATTGCACAGTGTACAGTTTCTATTGTATTTGCCATCTAAATGAATTAAGTCGCATCTCGCCTTAAAAATCCACATTATGTGCGCACGACTGAAGCTTTCTGTAAAATATTGAGCCCCCAAGTTATGGTCTAGGTACTTATAAATTCTGCTTTCACTTCTCAATGCTTTTCGCCACATTTTTACTCTGTTTTCCACTTTTAAGTGATTTAATAATACGAAATTATTGTTCTTCCATTCTTGGCTTGTTGTTTCATCATTCCAAACTAGGCTTGACTCATTTCCCAAAACGTTTAGTCTCTCTGCCCAAAATACATTTTTTTGCAGAACTTTTTGTGACAATATTCTTGCCAATCTCCTTTCATTATATTCAAACAAAGTCTTGTAGACGTATCTTAAATGCAAGTCCATTGTGTACAAATGCCCGCTTTCCATATTTGATTCCAGCATTATGGCGTAGGTTGGAGTGAAATTGGGAAGCCTGTAAATTCTTTTGAAGAAGTAGCATTGTAATTTGTCTATTTCGCTAAACATGTCACTTCCCCAAATTTGCGCCGCATAGCCTTGTATGGCTCTACAAATAGCATTGAACATTTGCCACTTTGCCCTGATTGAAATTTTATCGTTATTTAAATACGTACTCCAAGTGGCATTTATGCTTGATTTTGCAGATATATTCCTGTTTTCCAGGTGTTTTTTAAATATCATTTTTGGCGTGAGCGTTACCCCTAAATATGTATATTCAGCGACTATTTTAAGCACTTCCCCTTTGTATGTCCACCTTTCTCTACTAGACAGCCTACCGCCTTTTCTAAACACCATGACTGCCGATTTGGCTAAATTTACCTCTAAATTCCAACTGTCGCAGTATGTTTCAAGATTCCATATCATTTTCTGTAGCGTTTCTGCATCATCGGACAAGATGACTATATCATCTGCATATAACAACAGCCTTATATTCAGTTCTTCCACCTGCAAACCACCGTCCAAATAATCGTGTAAGTCGTTGAGATATAACGCAAACAGAAGGGGGGAAAGCAAACAACCTTGTTTGACACCAGAAATTGTGCTAAAACTGTCAGATACTTCGCTTCCGTTCCAAACTACCGAATTTGTCGTCTCGTAAATCTGCTCAATAAAATCTACAAATTTGCTTGAAACGCCTATGCTCCTCAGTTTGTACATAAGTAATTTTCTAGCGATTTTATCAAAAGCCGCCTTTAGATCTATAAACACAGCGTATACTTTCTTTTTTTCATTAAATTTCAACTTTACGATGGATGTTAGATTGTATTGGTTGTCAACCGTGGAATAGTTTTTACGAAATCCTGCTTGGTATTCAGACATGATGTTATTGTTTTCAACCCAACTGGATAATCTTTCATTGAGCACACCCATCAATATTTTTGCTTTTGTGTTCATAAATGCCACACCCCTATAATTGGTTACAACTGAACTATCTCCCTTCTTGTGTATTGGAAATATTATACTCGGTTCAGAACTTGAATCTGCCCTTCCTGAGTCGTACATTTGGTTGTATGCCTTCGCGAGTTGCTCTAAAAATTCCGTATTTGCATTTTTGTAAAATTCGTAAGGGATTCTATCTAAACCTGGTGCTTTTCCGTCTTTCGCTTTTTTCAAGACCTGCAATATCTCACCCACCATTATAGGTTTGTCGAGCTCGTCTATTTCTATAAAGTTTGGAGCATAATGCACATCTTTCGCCGTTTGCGTGTGATTAAGAAGATTTTCAAAGTGTGTCTTAAACTCATTTGGTGCAATTCGTACCTCATTTATTAAAGGCCTATTTCTTAGCTCTTTAACTAGCTTCCACCATTCTTTGCCATTTTTAATTGTGTTTATACGTGTCTCTAGATTTCTATAA